GCTTTTTTTTTTTTTTTTAGAGACAGAGTCTTACTTTATTGCCCTCAGTACAGTGCGTGGCATCACAGCTCACAGCAACCTCCAACTCCTGGGCTTAGGTAATTCTTTTGCCTCAGCCTCCCGAGTAGCTGGGACTACGGGTGCCTACCACAACGCCTGGCTATTTTTTGTTGCAGTTTGGCTGGGGCCGGGTTTGAACCCATCACCCTTGGTATATGGGGCCGGCACCCTAGCCACTAAACCACATGGGCCAACCCTGGCTATTTTTTGGTTGTAGTTGTCATTATTGTTTTGGCAGGCCCAGGCTGGATTCGAACCCGCCAGCTATGGTGTATATGGCTGGTACCCTACCTAGCACTGAGCTACAGGCGCCGAGCCTCCCTGGAGGTTTTTAAAAAAATAAGACCTTGGCTTAGCATCTGTCTAAAAAACAAAAACAAAAAAACAAAAAAAAAAAAAAAGAAAGAAAGAAAGAAAAGAAAAAGAAAATAAAGAAAGAGAAAGAGAGAAAGAAAGAAAATAGGACCCTTGTATTTCTCCAATTGACTAGCAAAAATAGGGGCCCAGAGAAGTGAGAGAGGTGGCAGAGGCAGCCCTTTTTGGCTGTTTTTAACCAAAGCTTTACCCAGTTTGAGGAGTAGGGAAGCTTAAAACTGGAGCTCATGGCTGGGCCCAGAGGCGCATGCCTATAATCCTAGCACTCTGAGAGGCCAAGGCGAGTGGATAGCCTGAGCTCAGGAGTTTGAGACCAGTCTGAGCAAGATTGAAACCCTGATCGATGGCTTGAACCCAGGAATTTGAGGTTGCTGTGAGCTACAGTATAATAGCACTCTAGCCTGGGGAAATGGAGTAAGACTCTATCTCAGTAAATAAGTGAAACTGGAGCCCAGAGGGACCTGAAGGCCTGAGAACCATGTCTGAAGCCAGGTGCCGCTCGTGGCCAATGGGCAGGGCTCAGCGTTCTCTCATGGTTCTGATGGAGCCAGAGGAAGGGAGGTTGGGATCCTTCTGCTCTACCCAGATCAGGGGACCCAGACTGGGTCCTGAGAAAGGAAAGGATCAGTACCGTGTCTGGTTATCCTTATACTAGGTCTCCCTGTGCTCTAGCGGGACTTTCCTTCCCCACAGTTCCACAGTCCCATGTGTGTAAAAGGAATGAGAAGGGGTGAGCAACACCTTTGGGACTCAAACTGAGAAGCCTTAGGGACATGTGGGCCCCAGGCTGGGAGGTCCCTTGTCTTTCTCCCTGGAGGGAGAGTAGCTTGGTTGAAGGGAAGGGTGGGTGGAATCTAGGGAGGAGAAATTGAGGCCCTGTGTGGGAAGCGTCAGGATACAAAGGTACCCTGTCTGACTGGGAAAGAATGGGAGGGGGAGAGGGAAAAGCATTCATGTCATGGGATCAAGCTCTGCCCTTTGCCCCAGGCACGTTCCTGAGCCCTGAGTCATGGGAAGGGTGGAGAAGCAAGAAGTGGATTTGGGGGGCCCTTGGGGGAGGTGGGAGCCCAGCCCCAGAGACAAAGATGCAAACAGACCTAAAGCAAGGATGCCTCTCCTGGTAGCTGGGGACAGCAGAGTCAGCCCAATGGAATTGGCCCTCTAGGGATGCTGACTCCTTTTCTTTTCTTTCTTTCTTTTTTTTTTTTTTTTTTGAGACAGAGCCTCAAGCTGTCCCCCTGGGTAGAGTGCCATGGCATTACAGCTCACAGCAATCTCCAACTCCTGGGCTCAAGCGAGTCTCTTGCCTCTGCCTCCCAAGTAGCTAGGACCACAGGCGCCCGCCACAACGCCCGGCTATTTTTTGGTTGCAGCTGTCATTGTTGTTTGGCGGGTCCGGGCTGGGGATTTGAACCCGCCACCTTAGGTGTACGTGGCTGGCGCCTTAGCCGGTTGAGCTATAGGCGCCGAGCCCCGACTCCTTTTCTTAACACCACTGTTCTCTCTCATTTTTAGTAATACCAAGAAGGAAGGTGACTTGATGGCCGCCCAGGCCCGGCTCAAGGACCTGGAAGCTCTGCTCAATTCCAAGGAGGCTGCACTGAGCACTGCTCTCAGTGAGAAGCGCACACTGGAGAGTGAGCTGCATGATCTGCGGGGTCAGGTGGCCAAGGTGAGGCAACCCTCCAGGTTCTGCCAGCGGTGGTCCTGCCTGACATATGCTCACTCACTCCACCACCCCATCCTGCCCTGGGAGGGGCCTGGTCTGACCTGTCCTGATCTGGTCTCATCTCAGAGCCATTCACCTGTCCTAGCATCATTTCACCCATTCAGACCATATCTCATCCTTCTTTGGCCACCCCTGGGATCTAGCACAGTGAATTTGAAATCATCTATGAGCCATTTTCATTTAACTTCACAGTGAGCTACGTCCTAGATCCTCCCAGGTTGGCCTCCAGTTTATGACTCCTCTGGAAGAAAAGAGGACTAGGGTCCTTTCTTTCTTTTCTTTTCCCCTATCTCCCTTTCTCCCTCCCTTCCTCCCTTTCTTTTCTTTTTTTTTTTTCATTTCTTTTCATCATCTATGAGGCCATAATTGAAAGCTAACATCTAAACACATATGGGACATGTGTTAACAGTGCTTTGTATGTGTGGTGGCCTTTACTTTCAAAATACTTTGCTCCAGTTTCTCGTGCTAAGCCAGGGAATGGAACCAAAGAAGCTGGTTTATTTCCAATTTCATAGCTTCATCTTCTCAGAGCAGGGCCAGGACTAAAGTGAGTGGCCAAACTTCGCTCCTGGGCTCTCCTACCTAGGTCTTGCAACACCCATACACCCGGGGAGGACTAGGGGAAGTCAGTAGGTTGCTACAAACCAAGGCTGGGCCATTCTTCCCCAGGTCTCCTACTTCCAGCTCCACCCTTCCCCCAGTCCTTACCAGCTGCACTGACCAACCTATTCTTTTCTTTCCTTTCATTTCCTTCCTTTAAATTTTATTTTCTTTTTATTTATTATTATTTATTTAAAAAACAGAGTGTCATTTTGTCACCCTTGATAGAGTACTGTGGCGTCACAGCTCACAGCAACCTCCAGCTTTTAGGCTTAGGCAATTCTCTTGCTTCAGCCTCCCAAGAGGAACTGTTGGGACTACAGGCGCCCACCACAATGCCTGGCTATTTTTGTTGTTGCTGTTGTTGCAGTTTTGCCGGGGCTGGGTTTGAACCCACCACCCTCGGTATATGGGGCCGGCACCCTACTCACTGAGCCACAGGCACTGCCCCAAATTTTATTTTAGAGACAGGGTCTTCCTCTGTTGCCCTAGGCTAGAATGTAATCATAGGTCACTGCAGCCTCAAACTCCTGGACTCAAGCAATCCTCTGCCTGCCTTAGCCTTGGAGTAGCTAGGACTATAGGCATCTATATTCCACACCTGGCTAATGTTTCTTATTTTTTGTAGAGATGAGGGTCTCACTGTTTTATCCAGGCTGGTCTTGAACTCTTGGCCTTAAGTGATCCTGCCATTTCAGCCTCCCAAAGTGCTGGGATTATAGGCATGAGCCACTGTCCCAGCCACACCCTCCTCAAACTTCTTCAGAGGTCCTTTTTGTGGCAGATAAGGGCATGTCTTCATGAGCCAGCCTCTGCCTACTGGCCCTGCCTCCTCTCGCATCACTTTTCCCCACTCATACTTTAGGCTTTAGCAGCACTGATCTCCCAGAAGACCCCTGGATACACGTGTGCCTTCATACCTCCATGCCTTTGCACATGCTTGTCTCTGCCCACAACAGTGTCCCCTCTAGTCTCCAGCAGTCTGTCCCTTCCATCTCAGCCTCTTGGAGGCCTTCCCAGACCCACTCCTACCCTCCGGTCCAGGTGCACTGGTTCCTTCTCTCTTACACCTCCATACTTTGTACATAACTTCTTCATAGCAACTGCTATATTGTGCCAGAGAGGGGAGGTTCTGTGGCTATTGGGGAAGAATTATCTTCTACCTGGAGTCATTTCCGTAAGGAAGCGGATATCCTCACCTCTGAAAACATCCAAGGCCCTTCCTCCCCCAGATCTGTTTCCATACATGTAAAGGGACATACTGGGAACAGCTCCCCTCTCAGCCTCCTCCCAGCTCACATGTGCTGTGACCCTCATCCCGACCTCTGCCTGCTTCCTTTCAGCTTGAGGCAGCCCTGGGCGAGGCTAAGAAGCAGCTCCAGGATGAGATGCTGCGGCGGGTGGATGCCGAGAACAGGCTGCAGACCCTGAAGGAGGAGCTGGACTTCCAGAAGAACATCTACAGTGAGGTGGGGACTGTGTGCATGCCAGGGGGCTGGGGCTGGTGGTGAAAGACACTGGTCTTGGGTTGGGGGTCAGCTGAGTGGAGGGCTTACCCACCTGCGTCCCTTGCCCTAGTAGACAGGGAATGGGGTCAGCACCTGATCCCAGGTTGGAGTGGGGCCGACAGCAGCCTATGGGGTAAGGGCTGGGCAGGGAGCTTGACTGTGAGCCTTGGCCTCTAAGGAAGTAGTTCTGATTTTGGTTTCCATGTCCTTGATTCAACGCTTCTAGGAGCTGCGTGAGACTAAGCGCCGCCATGAAACTCGGCTGGTGGAGATTGATAATGGGAAGCAGCGAGAGTTTGAGAGCCGGCTGGCAGATGCCCTGCAGGAACTGCGGGCCCAGCATGAGGACCAGGTGGAACAGTACAAGAAGGAGCTGGAGAAGACCTATTCCGCCAAGGTGCCTGCTCTCCCCTGTTCTCTCACTGCCTCTGCCCACACTGGGATATTCCATGGAGGGACCAGGTGTATAGTGGCAGGGAGCTCAGGGTGGCTCAAGACCTAAGATCGTAGCAGCAATGTGTTCCTCAGGCCCCTCCCTATGTCCTTCTGGATCCCTGCAGTCCTAACCCTGTCCCCTTCTCCAGCTGGACAATGCTAGGCAGTCTGCTGAAAGGAACAGCAACCTGGCAGGTGCCGCCCATGAGGAGTTGCAGCAGACCCGCATCCGCATCGACAGCCTCTCAGCGCAGCTCAGCCAGCTCCAGAAGCAGGTGGTGCCCTCCCTCTTCCCTTAGGACCAAAGGATCTGGGCAGGGATGTAGGCCAGAAGCTCAGGGGGCCTTCCTGTGGGTGGAGGTGGGGGGGGGGTCTGTCCTTCAGGACCACACATGGAGAAAAGGGACCCAGGACTTGGCATCAGAAGGCCTATCTGCTGTCCAGTATTCCCTCCTACCTCACCTTTGCTTTTCAGAGCTTTTGTTTTCCAATTTGAAAATAGGTTTTTCTTATTCTCCCTAACTCACAGATTTGTCATAATACTCTATGATGTGAGTGTTAAAAGCATCAGTGTTATTCTAGCTGGCTATGCTGTTTGTGGGCAGGAAGTAGGGTCTAGCCTCAGAACAAAAGATTTCAGTTAAGGTTGGGCATGGTGGCATGGTAATCCCAGCATTCTGGGAGGCCAAGGCAAGTGGATTACTTGAGCTCAGGAATTTGAGAACAGCTGGAGCAAGACCTCATCTCGGCTTAGCGCCTGTGGCTCAAGTGGCTAAGGTGCCAGCCACGTACACCTGAGCTAGTGGGTTCAAATCCAGCCCAGGCCCGCCAAACAACAATGATGGCTGCAACCAAAAAATAGCC